AGGAGGTGGTTCTGCTCCGGGAAACAAGTGGATGGTGTAAACTGTGACTCATCCTTTTTGGGGCGAGCGGGCTCCCTGCGAACTTGCCCAGCTCGGTGCTGCGGGGATGGATCGCCAGTCGGTTGTGCGGGTTTTGCGTCCGTGCTGCAGCGCTGCTCAAGCCGAAACCCCATTTTTATTCCACTGGAGCGCTGTTCCTGGCAGTGCGTTACCGCTACCTGCGGTCATCGCGCCGTCTGGCCTGTGTGCAAGAGCTGGTGTGGGTTTTGGTGTACTCGGTGTTGGCCTGGATGCCCTTGAACCTGATGTCGCCTTCCCTGTGCAGCCGCTGCAGGCCCTGTGGGCGTACAGGGGACGCAGGTTGTCCCTCGTTGGAGAGAGGTGTGAAGGATGCGCGGCTGCAGGAGCCTTACTCTAGATATTCTTAGGACTCTTTTTACCATGCACAGCCCATTCATAAACTTGGTTCACCAGGCAGTGTGTGCGTTGAAGTGCCACCCAGTTATCTCCCTCTCAACGAGTTGCGAGTAGCAAATTAAACAAACCTTACCCTGTTTGAAGCTGCAAAACTACTACGCTGGCAACTTGCCTTCCTGTAAGCACGTTTTAACATAACCCTCTTCTTCTCTCTTCCAGTTCCCATCTTCTCTGTGGTACGGTAGCTCATCTTGTGACCCATGAGCATGTACTGTTGTGCCTGTGGGACAGGGCTGGGCCACTAGCTGTAGTAGAGCTGTAGCTGCTCTTGACTGTTGAGTGCAATGGATGAGTGTCTCCACTTGGTATTTTGATAAAGTGCCCTTCTTTTACCAATTACAAAGTTTACTTGAATTTTGCCCAACAGTGTAACAGTCTGAGGTACTGCACACATCTTGTACACGTGCAGGTCCTTGTGCATACCCGTGTGTGTTTACTCTTTGAAGCACATCTGAATGCTCTTAAAGGTGACAGCAGCAGAGTGAAGTGTGTTTGCCACATGCTGCTCTTAGAAGCAGCTGTTTCTCAGCCAGAGTCCAAGTGGGTTTTCACCGGTCCTTCTTATGACTCACTGGTATATTGCTTTGTGACTCCTGCTGCCATTTGCACAATTTCCCCATTAGTAGAACAGATCTACTTCTTTCTGTGGATGACTTGTCCAGGCAGCGTCATGAATCAAGAGGAGAGAAAAAGCTTTGAAGCATAACTTGAACCTTACTGGTTTTCTTGAATGATGGAGCAATCCCTCCCCTGAGTTTTCGGTGAAGTAAAAAAGAAAAAATAATGGAACAGACATCCTCTTAAAGCTAGAACAATGCATGACACTGCAGTGTAGTGTTTGTCTGAACATATAACTTAATTATTTACAACAGTTCTTCCTCCTGGGAACATCATTACAGCAGTGCTTTGCAGAGAGTGGGAGAAGATGCTCGTTTGTGTGGGATAGTCGAGGCTTTAGATAGCAGAAATGTACACGTGACTGCTTTGCCCAAGGCTCTGCTTGCTGTGGTGGAGGGCTTGGCCTGTGCCTTGAACATCCTGGCAAACATCTGCAGTACCATCGTGCTCATAAAGAGCCCCTCAAGAAGCAGCAGTGTTTCTTGCAGCTTCATCAGAGGGTGTTTCCTATTGTAGCCAGAGCTTCTCTGCTCTTGTTGCCTCCAGCCCTGGTTCTGGATGTACCAACTGCAGGTGCTCAGGCAGTCCAGGCACTGAGGCCTGTTGCCACCCGGAGCTGGAGGAGCCCAGCACTTGCTTCCTGACCCTCCTGTTGATCCCAGTGGGTGGCTGTTAGCCTCCCAAGGTCTTTTCTGAGGTTTATATTTGGTCTCTGAATTCCTCATTGAGAGAGTTCCTGGAGGCTGGTGGCAATTGGAGTTGCTGTGGGGTCTGGCCTAGCATCTAACCTGTTAAATGTCTCTGTCGGTGACCTGGAGGAGATGGGGGCGTCTGTATTGAGCTGTGAACAGCCCCAAACTGGGGTGAGGAGGGCAAGGGTGAGAGGCAATACCCACGGGCTGCTGTTCAGAGCGGCCTCGCCAGGCTGAAGGAAGGGGTTGGCCTATGGGGACCTTATGGAGTTGAATAAGGACAAATGCGAAGTCCTGCCCTGGGAGGTCCCAAGGTGGGACTGAGTGGGTGGGGGACAGCTCTGCAAGAAAAAACCGTTGTGGGGGTCTGGTGGGTGGTGCAGTAGCTGTGAACCAGCAGTGTGTCCCTGTGGTAAAGAAGGTCGATAGGATCCTGGGCTGTATTAACAGGGGCAGAACCAGTAGACTGAGGGAAGCGATTACCCTTCTGCTTGGCACTCACAGACTGCATCTTATCAAGAACATGGAGCCAGGCTGCTCAGTTGGGGCAGAAGAGCAGGAGACAACAGGCGTAGATTGAAGCATGAGGTTTTAATGGGGTATCAGGAGAAGACTTTTCAGTAGGGACTGCCAAGTGGTGGAACAAAGGCCTGGAAAAGCTGTGCATTCATCATCCTTGGAGGTTTTCAAGACCCAGCTGGATAAAACCCTGAGCAACCTGGTCTGTTCTCATTGCCGGTCTTGCCTTGAGTGGGAGGCTGGCCTAGAAACATCCTGTGGTCCCTTCCAACCTGAATTATTCTGTGAGCATGAAACCAGTTGTATGTTAGGATATGTGGAGTCAGGCATTTGTCAGTTGAAGTGCCATGAAATCTTCACTGACCAGATGGCGGACAGTCATTAAATCTGGATTACTCTTGGTCTGATGGATCCACTGCTAGAAAATCAGAAGGATGAAGCCCTGTGAAACCAGTTTCTTCACGCTGCCTCTGAAAGACCGTATTCCTACCTCAGCTGGCTTGGGCAGCCTGGTATGAAAGTGATCCAAGGCTGTTGTAGTGCGTTGTCGCTCATATGGTCAACTGGGTGACAAGAGAGGGACAGAGGGCGGGTGCAGTCTATGTACAGCACCAGTTTCTCAAAGTGCAATCGCTTTTTATGTAACGTAAGCACAAACCCATGAATATTTTAGCAGTACAGTTGGCGTGCGCTTTGCTTAACCCAGTTAACATAAAGCCCAACTCTTGAGCATGCACTCCTGACCGAAGCCTCCCTGTAAGGCAGGACTCAGCCAGACTTGTCTTGCTGATCTCTTAATGGTTTAACAGACTTCTGTACAGAGCAGGTAGGAGCAGCGGAGGGAGGAAGGGATGAGGGAAACGAGGTTGCAGGGTACCATTTCTACAGAGAATTAATAGAGGGAGGGCTTGCATCCAGGAAACCTGCCAAGAGGCGTGTGGTAGGTCAGGCGCTGAAGCCTGATCAGACCAGTAGAAGTTGAAGGGCACAGGGGGCTGCCAAGGTGCGTCGCTAAGACAGCAGCCTGGTTGGATATGCAGCTGGAGCAGTGCTGTTTCAGGTGCATTGTGCCTCCTGATAAACTGCCTGCCAGATGTGTGAGCTGAGCAGCACTGTCTCCATCTCCACTGTTTCGCGCTACTGAAAACCCATAATGCAATATTTAAGAACTGATGCAGTGTGTTCTTTCACTGACTAGACTCCTTATTAAGAAGGCTTGTCGTCAATTACTGTAATACTGTGTGCAGCAGGCAGATTTCTGCAGGAGTTTGTAATAACATTGATTGAGCTTTCAGGCTTTATAGATACTATTGCTTACCCCTCCAGCACCATTGGAATCTTTACTGGTTGTCTGTCTGGAACCAAACAAAATAAAATCTGAGGTTATGTCTGTTCTTGCTCCAAGTTATTGTAGGGAGAAAAAAAGAGTTGAATTAAATTTGGTCATGTTCAGTCAGTACTGGGAAAGAGCCCAGTATTTTTTTAGTAAAGTAGAAAAATTAGTCATGCATTTAATGATTTGTTTGCAAGAGCCAGACTTATTTCAAGGCATTATGTTTGTGTTATCAACTTCTGAACTTGTTTTAAAATTCATAGTTTCTGGGAGTTTTGGATTTGGCAGAAAGGTAAAGGCTTTTAAGATAAGCCAGAGGTAGATTGCTAATGCGGATTAAGCTGGTGTTTTGTTTAGCTGTGTGCAGTCACCAGTGCGCTTGATGTTCGAGTTGAGTAACCCCAATGGAAATGTTGTGATCGCTAATCAGATTGCCAGTTCCAGCACCTTTTGTTCCAGCAGTATGTTCTCAATTGTTTATTCCCCTAGTATAAACTCTTCACGTCACCTTCTGAACACAACAGGGTTAGTTGCTGAAAAGAGCCCTCATCAGCACATTGCTCTTACTGCCCAAGTTGTCTTAATGTGCTTGGGATAGCACAAAACAGCATTTCCACCATTTCTGTGCTTATGCAGACAGATGGAAACCCAAAAGCTCAGCAAAATGCACCCACAGTGACCTGGCCTCTTCTCAGATGCCGTATTGGGAAGATAATAGCTGGCGCTGGAAAGCGTCAGGAGCTGCTGCAGATAAGATCGCTGTGTCAAGAGGAAACTTCCACCCCAGAGTATTATTACTCCCCACTCCCCCAAGACCCACTGGGGACCACTTGTGGGGCTGCATTCTTGTGGTGTGGGAGGATGGACAGTCCTAGAGCAGTGAGGACAGGGGATTAGCAGCGAAGGAGTGTGTTCATCAAATCCCATCCTCTCGACAAGCATTGGAGAAGCCTCCTAATTACCTTTTGAGCACCTCTGGGTACCTCTTCCCAAATCTGCTTTCTGGGTGGCAGGGCTTTGTCCACAGCAGTGCTTCTGCAGAGCTTCCAGCTGTGCTGGGCCAGGTAACGTACACTTCAGTGCTGAGCACCCTCAGCTGCCACCCCCCTCCCACCCTGTACAGCTTTTGCAGAGCTGTGCAGCCATGTGTGACCTAGACCTTGCACCCCGTGCTGAGCTGCAGCTTATACTGCTTGCAGGAATGATTCCCAGGCCAGTTGGTAGAGGCTTCTGAGAAAACAGAAGGCAAAAAGAGTTTACTAAGTCATGTATGTGTTGTGTAGACTCAGGTAATACCACATAGCACTGCTAAATGCTAGATGCTTGCTCCATGCCCCCTGTAGACCTAGGTAATTCTGTAGGATAATGATGTCTATTACAAAGTAATAGAAAAGCTACGCTCAGGAGAAACAGATTCAAGGCTCTGCTAGCTCCTGAACTTAATTAGATTATGGGTTTTTATTTTATAGCATGTGCTAGTGCATAAGAACCTGTGTTTGCTGACCAATCACTTTACCAGTTGTGCGGGGAGATGCTGGTTTAAGATCTGTCTCATGTCTGTGGAGGATTAGCACTTGCTGATCACTAGGGAGGCAAGAGATTACACATTTTATTACTGCTTTACTCATAGTTATTTAAACTGTCACAACAAACTGTGGAGGTCTTGTACATTTGCACTGACCCCTTTGTGTGTCTTTATTGTGCTT